TGAGTACCAAAGGAAAAAAAGAATCAAAAGAAAATAAATAGCAGAAATTTAAGATCTATGATTTATATAAAATGGAAAAGATCAAATATGATATTTAGTATATAGAAATTAAACAATTTCACAAGAGTGAAGATTTCATTGATATACTCTTAAGAATTATGTATATGACCATATTTGTCTACATGGTAGTTACATTAAAAAAAATATCAGCAGCTGGGCATGGTGGCACACGCCTTTAATCCCAGCACTTGGGAAGCAGAAGCAGGTGGATCTCTGTGAGTTCAAGGCCAGCCAAGTCTACATAGTGAGTTCCAGGTCAGCTGGGGCTACCCTGTCTCTCAATAAGACCAAAAAAAAAAGAAAAAAAAAAAAACAAAACAAAAAAACCCAAAAAACAACAAAGGAAAACAACAAAAACCCCAAACAAACATCAACAACTTGATAGTTCTATAGCCACTAATAAAAAAATGTTTAACCCTTTTAAGTAAACTCATAAAATTCTAGGAATAGTTCTTACTGAAGCTCACTAATTTTTACATTTGTGACTTTATGTGGGAGTGAGTGTGGGTATAGGTCATGAAAAGAGAAGGAGAACCAAAGAAAGATAAGAAATTTTAAGGAAGGGGGATGGAGAGGGTAATAGAAGACAAATGTATACACGTGACATGAAATTTAAAGGGGACTACTGGTGGCAGGAGATGGGGAAGAGAAGTAGAACAAGAGGATCAACCAAACAAAGTATGTATGAAAATGTCATAGTGAAACTTTTTACTTTGTATGCTCAGTACATTTAAAAAAAAAATGCTAGGGCTGGAAAGATGATCCAGGGGTCAGACACAGCATCCATGGCAGAATGTTCACAACCACTTGTAGCTACACCTTCAGGGGATTTGACACCATCTTCTGGACTCCGTGGGTACCTGCACATGTAGGTACCCATAGACAGACATACACATATATACATAATTTAAAATAAATATTTTAAGAAATGAGTGCTCAGAGATACCTTAGAAAGTAGGTATTTTCATGGCTCATTAGACAGTAGTTTCATTAGACAGCAGTTAAAATGACTATTCCGTTGTAGTATAACACAAAAAATATATTGAGTTTTGCTCTTGGTTCCTCATACAGAATTCCTAATACTGCTGTAATCCCCTGGGTGATAAGTGTCTTTTGCTATCTGGTACAAATTTCTTTACCTCACAAGGAGGATCTCCTTCGCCTCAGGTCAGAAACACAGTTATTACAAGGTAGAAACTTTCAGTCCCACCCACTAATGGAATGTGAGTTTGAATTCTTTTAAAACTGTTGAAAAATAAGATTCACCATCTTCAGGAACTGGTGAATGCATTCAGGTGTTGTAAGGTTACTGCAACTGAACAAAGTGTGGGTATTTGGTTACTAGATCCTCCTACACATTGATGGATGCCTCTCTTCCATTTGGCTGTTTCTGAGTTACATACCTGTAATAAATGAGTTTTGTGTGCTGTTCTAGCTAATTATCAGATGTATTGGCAGAGGAAGGTTGGGGCAATCCACAGACTTTGCAGAAAAGCAGGATAGAGTATGTGTAATTCGGGGCCCAAATTTACTAAGGGCAACAGTTTTGTGGTACTGAGCTTTAAACTTGGGCAATCTGAGCAACTCCAGGTCAGAATTAAACTGAAATGTAATGAAGAACATTTGGTGTATGAAGAGGTGGAGAATTGAGTAGTGTGAGAAAAAAATCCACACAGGTATCATTGTTGTCAATAAATACAGCCACCTTGTTGGTCAATAGAAAAGACAGAATTCAAATTAGAATTTTCAATTTAGTATTTTGGCATTAACTTGAAGCTCATAAGAAACAAGATACTTGGTAATGTAAATTATTTCCTTACAATTAAACGTAATATTATTTGGTTATGAATGAATTCTATAATAATTTTTTCTACTTTTCTGATGTAATAAAATACAAATACACCTCTTCAGGAGATGGTTTATCTTCCAACTGTACTTTTTCAGTTAGTCTCACACTATAAAAGAAATGTAAAGACTGTCCAGTTAGGACACAGAAACTAAATTGTGTGATGACGTTTCTGCTTATGAGGGTAATGTTAACAATCAACAAAACAACTCTTCTGATTCCTTTAAACAGAAATCTGATTTATTTATAAAATAGAATAGAAACTATCTTGACTTACAGAAAATTGCAATTTAAAAAGTAGACAGCAGTTCTTAGAATTTAGAATTATAGTCTATGGCTCAGCAACATTCACACCACATGGGGATTTGACTGAAACACAAATTCTGGAAATCCATTGCAGTGTTACTCAATCAGAAACTCTAGGGGTGTGGCCCACAAATCTGCATTTTAGCAGCTCTCTTGCAGGTTCTGATAAGAGCCAAAACTTGAAAATGAGTAAGGGCAATAATTTAATAAATGCAGAGAAAAAGAGTCTTGCTAAAATAAGGCAGTAGGTATAATAGCATAGTATACAGATTTGAAAACAGGAGGCATAGCTAACATTAAGTTAAACTGACCCAAAAACACTTCATTTGAAAAGTAAAGAAAGCCACATCACAAGTGGTAATGCAAGTTTCCATACAATTCCACAGTGACACCTGAAATTTATGGCTTCTTTAAAAACAATGTAATGACCTTTTCCTTCTATTTACTCTTTGTTCTGTCTTTAATTTTTCTTCCTGTGTTGAAGATACTCCTGTGGCATGAAGTATTTATTATGCTGTTTAGCTTATTAAATTCTTCATTTCTATGTTTACATTTAAAATTGTGGGAAATACATCACTTTTTCATAAACTGTAGTGTAAAGTTAGTATAAATGTTCTATTATAGTAATCTACTCTACTTTGAGATAAATGACAAGGGTTCAAGAAAATGAGACTCAAATCCAATTTTGAATTGTATTGACAAGTATATCATACCAGATGACATTCTAACATTCAAAACTTTGCTATAACCTCCTGAAGTTCAGTTGCCACTGCAGACCACCAAACAAATTATGAATTAAATTCTAGAACAGTTCAATCTTCCTCACATTCCATAATTTCATAGTAAATCGAAATGGTAAGTCAAGAAAGTTTTCATAATAATTCTTCCAAAGTCAAATATTTGCATTGTTATGACTACAAGTAATTGTTTTGCCTATAAAAAAAAAATAACAGAAGAACTTATTCCCTGAATAAGAAAAAGGCAACATCTCACCTCTGGGGTGACATCCCGTGGTGCAAATCCTGTTCCTCCAGTTGTTAATATCAAATTAAGTTCCTTTTCATCACACCAATCTATGAGAGTTTCCTGAAAGAAAACAACAGTACTGTCAAATGCAGCAGGATTTGCTTGCTTGCTCAAAACATTCAAGTTCTTATATAACTTCATAGAGAACAAAGAATTAGGGATTCCTTCTATCACTAAATAAGAAAAATTTGAAGGACAATTCGTGGAAATGTCTCACCTTGATCAAAATGTATTGTATTTGATATATTTATTTGATCAATCATGGAAAATGATGATGCAAGCAACAAACTGATAAATGAAAAAAGAAATGCCAATTTGTAATTTCTGCTTTTTGTATATTTATATGGCATATGCAAAGTTCTTTTTCAATCACACAAAAACCTTTAGCACTATGTGTTAACTAAATTATCTTAGTATTTAGTAACTATTATCAATCTTAGCACCTAAATATTCACACTTTACTTCTATATATAAGGAAATAAGACTCATACTTTGTTATTTTCTGGATTCACAGAGATGAAATAATGCTTTTATGCTGACAAAGTATAAAGGAAGAGTTATAATTCAAACCAGGTTTGTTGAACTCTCAATTTATAATACTCTATATTTTGTTCATCATTGAGTAAATACTTTGTGCTCAATTTGATGTTGGGAAAGTTTTGTGCCTTTCAATATTGATTTTATGTAGATTTCTTAAAAGTTTGTAGAGCTTAAATAATGGTTGGGGCCCACTTCTGGAGTACAGCCTGAGTTAGCATTATATTCACTTTTCTTTTTCATAGGTACTATACTCACACCTAGAATCTTGCACATGGTAAACTTGAGTTCTACATTATAATTGCAGACTTAAAATTTTTCAGGTAATTCTAAAGTACCACCAAAAAATTCAGAGCTACTAATTTAAAAAGAAAACCTGAACGTTAAATCAGGGGTCAGTTTCACAGCTAACTTTGCTAAGTGGCACAATTGAATGTCATATAAGCTAAAGGAAAACCATTTGAACCATATTACTCAAGTCTTTAGATTCACATCATGAATAACTGCTTATATAACACAGCTTTCTTTCATTTAAATAATGCATAATGGGAGTTCAGTTAAGAGTACCTGCAAAATATTTTATTGTGCAATGTAGTTGTATGATACATAGCAGCATTTAATGGGAACAAAAATTTTAGTTAAATTTTGAGAATTTTATGAAAAATATTAATTATATCGCCCTATAGTTGGATTCTAAAGCATAAGGATTCTTCTCTATCCACCAATATAGAACTCAAGTATTCTAGGCCCTAAGTAGCCACACAATTATTGATTCATTAATTTTTTTAAGAAGAAAATATTTCAGGGAATACATTACTCAGTCACATCACTAGATGACAAGAATACAAAGACAAGTCACAGCCTTTTTTCTCACATTTTCATTCAGGTGGAGGACCTATAAGCATGCAGAATTCTAACTCTTGTTGAAAATATCATCAGAATGCCAGCATCATCACATACAGGATCTTGGGAATTAAAAAAAAAAAACTCTGTTTTATTTTAAGATCTATGGAATCAGAGCATGCATTTTTAAAGATTCCTCAAGGTGATATATGTGTTGGCTAAATTAAATGAAATATGCCTTCTTTTTAATATTTTATTTATTATGTTTTATTTTATGCATATAAGTGTATTGCCTACATGTATGTGAGTGCATCTGTGTCATGCAATGCCATGGAGGTCAGAAGAGGGCTTCAGAGTCCCCTGGAACTGGAGTTAAGGACGGTTCATAGCTGCCATGTGAGTGCTGGGAATCTAACCTGGGTCCTCTGCAAGAGCAGTCAGTGCTCTTAACCTCTGAGGCATCTCTCCAGACAGAAATATGCCTTCTAATCATGCAACACTGTACAATTTCTGAGTCTTATTTTTCTATTATTAAAAAAAATCAATTTGCTGGGCATGGTGGCGCACACCTTTAATCCCAGCACTGGGAGGCAGAGACAGGTGGATCTCTGTGAGTTCAAGGCCAGCCTGGTCTACATAGTGAGTTCCAGGACAGCTGGAGCTACAGGGAGACCCTATCTCAAAAAGACCGAAAAAAAAAAAAAGCAATTTATCTCAGCTAGTCATTTACTTAGTAATTTATCTTATTTCACTTAGTAACTTATGATACCTTTAGAAAGCAATTTATCTTCCATATTTGTTTTTACATCTGTAAAATCTCTTTCATGCTGATAAAAGTCTTAGTATTTAGCTGCCTCTACTTTTTAATCTTCCTACATATAGCATTGCAATGATTTAAAATTAAGCTCTACTTGAGGCCTGGATATTGTTCAATTAAATTTTTTCTCAATATCATATAATGGACCAAAACATGAAGGTAAAGTGAAGAAATGTGGAGAAAAAACTTTAATAGTTCTAATAATGCTATCTTTCACAGCTGGATTTAATCAATCCAGTATTTGATTTAAAAAGATAGTTAAACAGGCTGGTGGATAGCTCAGTGGGTAAGGAAAGGCACTTGCCACTAAGCCTAATAATGACCTGGGTTTGATCCCTGGGTAGAGAGAACTGACTTCTGAAAGTTGTCCTCTGACCTCCACTTATGTGCCAGGAAATACACATCTGAACACACACACACACACACACACACACACACACACACAGAGTAAATATAATAAAAAATATTCCTTTTATAGCCAGCCATAGTAACACACGCCTTTAATCCCAGCACTCAGGTGGCAGAGCCAGATGAATCTTTGTAAGCCTAGCCTGGTTAACGACAATAACAAAATTCTGTAGAAAATTATAAACATATCATAAACCATAATATATAGTTTATGAAGACAGTTACATAATCAAAATCATAACCTATTAATGAAATCCAGTAATTTCTCTTATTTCTTAATTTAGAAGGATCTTTATCCCCCCATATTATCTCTTGCAAGAAAACATCAGATTTCAGTGAATATACTGCTTCTTTGTTGAGATGTAAATAAAATGCTATTATGTATTAACTTTGAAAGATTATTCCAAATTTGTATATAGCTAGGTCTCTCATGCACTTAAATGTCCACTCATTCTTTTAGTTCCATAAAAAGCATAGAAAGAGGTTGAATATTTTACAATAAATTGTCAAGAATGGGAATTATTTCTAGGTAAATACATTTGGAGTATATTATATCCTTTACTCATTTCTTTTTATTATTTAGCATTGTTTCTTTTCTTTATAATATACATGTATTATAAAAAAAATAAGTGGAGCTGGGTGTGCCTTTAATCCCAGCACTCAGGAGGCATGGCCAACAGATCTCTGTGAGATCGAGGCCAATTTCGTCTACACAACGAGTTCCAGGACAGCTGGGGCTACAGGGAGATCCTGTCTCAAAAAGATTTTTTAAATAAAGGATTTTTTTAAACACTAAATTTACTACTGTTCAATTCATCCTTATTTATTTTGTTGATATATTATATTGTGCTGATAGATTAGGATATGTTGAATCACCTTGGGGATGATTCTCACATGATCACAGTGAATAAGGTGTGTTGGATAGCTTTAGTGTCAACTTGATACACCTTGGTTGAGGGAGCCTCAATTGGTGAATTGCCTCCATTGGACTGTCCTGTGGCCATGTGTGGCTTATCTTCTTGATTACTGAGTGATATGGGAGGGCCCATCCCACTGTGGGTGGTGTCACCCCTGGGCAGGTGAGCCTATATTATGTAAGAAAACAGTCTGTGCCTGGGCCAGGAGAGCAAGCCAGCTCCTCCACGGCCTGTGCTTCAGCTCCTGCCTCCAGGTTCCTGCCCTGAGTTCCTACCTTGGAGTTCCTGATGAACTGTAACCCAGGAGATCTAAGGCAATAAACCCTTTCCCCCACAAGTTAGTAGTGGTCAGAGTGTTTTGTCACAGCAATGGAGAAACAAACTAGAACAAAGGCTTTTAATGTGTTGCCGGATTCAGTTTGCTAGTATTATATTTTTGTGGCTATGTTCCTGAAGAATATTGTCCTATAGCTTTCTCCTTGGAAGTGTTTGGTTTTGCTTTAGCATCATAGTAAGGCTAGCTCTGCAGAAAGGGTTTTGAAAACTTTTCCTCTTTAATTTTTTGAAATAATTTAAGGAAATTTTATATTACTTATTAATGTTTGGTGAAGTCAACAGTAAAATTATTTTATCTTTTTTTTTGATTGATGAGTTTTAGTGACTGATTCAATATCATTGCTTGCTATTAGTCTGATGCATATTTTCCATTTTGTCATGATTCAAGCTTTGTAAACTTTATCTGGCAATATGTCTTCATCTTCTAGGTTATGAATTTTGTTAGTATACTGGGTCACATTAAGCTCAAATGATCCTTTAAATTTTTGTATTGTCAGTTGTAATGCTTCCCTTTGTGTGTCTAATTTTATTCATGTTTTCATGTTTGTCCTAGAGGGTCGAGATACATTTATTACTTTTTCTCTTTGAATAATTAGTTATTTCTTCATCTTTTCTATTTTTATTATCTATATCATTTATTTATATGTTCTTTATTGTTTCTAATAACTTTGGGTTTGATTTCTTTGCCTAGTTCCATAAATAGGTTGATTTATTGGGATCATTCTGTTATTATAATGAAGGTGTTGACTGCTGTAAATTTTCTTATCAGTACTGCTTTTGGTGCATCTCATAAATTTTGATATAGTGTATCTTTATTTTCGTTTATTTTGAGACAATTTTGATATCTTAATTTCTTCATGATATAGATTATTCAACAGTAAGTCATTCAATACATATTTATATATTCCCAAAATTATTGGTATTAAGATTTGATTGGTATATTATGAAAATATAGTCAACATAATTTCCAATTTAAAAAATTTGTTCAAACTTCTTTTGTTCCCTATTATATGATCCACCTAGGAGAAAGACCTATGTGTTGTTGATAAGAATGTGTATTCTGGGCCGGGCGTGGTGGCACATGCCTTTACAGGCGGATCTCTGTGAGTTCAAGGCCAGCCTGGTCTACATAGTGAGTTCCAGGACAGCTGGGGCTACAGGGAGACCCCCCCCTCCAAAAAAAAGAATGTGTATTCTGTAGG